TCTAAAATACACAGAGGATACAACAAACTGGTAAGTAACAGGGATAGGTCTAAAATACACAGAGGATACAACAAACTGGTAAGTAACAGGGATAGGTCTAAAATACACAGAGGATACAACAAACTGGTAAGTAACAGGGATAGGTCTAAAATACACAGAGGATACAACAAACTGGTAAGTAATAGGGATAGGTCTAAAATACACAGAGGATACAACAAACTGGTAAGTAATAGGGATAGGTCTAAAATACACAGAGGATACAACAAACTGGTAAGTAACAGGGATAGGTCTAAAATACACAGGCAGACACTGTTTACTTCAGTACCGTGATAATTTGGAAAAAAACTCTTTGTGGAAACTGTAAACTACTGTTATTTTAAAATCTGTTTGTTTGAGCAGTTGAATCAAAGGTGTAGTAAAAGGTATTTGAAGGAGAATATCAAGCATAAATGTTAAATTGGAATAGATGTTGCTTAAATCAAAAGTTGGTTAAGATACTAGGAAGTGTATTGATCAAGTTCCACATCATGATTGAAACCAATCATGAAAAATTCCCATGTAAGATGATGTAAATGAAATATCTGAACCACCCTTATAATATTACAAATGTACTTATGTATCATTGGAGATTTTCCCCCTTGCAACAGAGTTGCAGGAGAATACGAGCATATCGCATGTACATCCAATCCATGCATACATGTCTCAACCTTGCAGGCACAAAAGTGCAAAGGCCATTTATCTACTTTCACTCAAACTGGGTACAGTGATTGTACACCTTAGGGTCAAGGTCAGAGGTGAAAGTTTGGATTTCTAGTTGACATACCTTACAGGTAAAAAAATCCAATCACATTGAAACTTGGTACAATTATAGGCCTTCGAAAGAGGATTATCAAACTTTTTAGGAATTTTAGGAATTCAAAGTCAATTGTTAAGGTCATGGATGAAGGTTATATATTTTGGCAAGCAAAAAATGACTTCATACACCAGTAAACTCAAACAAGTCAGTGTTTCAGGTTGTTAAGGTCAAGGTCACTGTTACATGGTATAGAAAATCTTTGTCATCTCACAATCCACTTTATTTCTGAAAGGATTTAATCAAATTTCATACTGCCTTCAAGAATGAGAATACTTCGAATGAGTAGTTGTTTTGTGTTATGACCAAGGTCAACATGCCTGTTGGCTGTTTGTAGAAAAACTTAATTGAATTTTTTCTGAACATTCCTTTTAAAAAAATTGAAATATTTTTTATGAATTTAGAAATATACAGATGTAATGAAACTTGATGAAGTTGCTTGAGTGTTTCATATATACAAAGTGTTGACGAGGTATTTACTATTTGGTGTCTTTAGTTTACAGACTGTGTTGCACACTCCAATGCATTGTTATACATACATAATGATATTATGGAATGCAAACAGTACCTCTAGATTTATGCTTCAGTTAGGTTTATTTTCCCTTAAAGCTATTCAGATTTTCATGATTTTTTTTTATATTCCAAATGAACAGGTGGAGAAGTTACTGGAAGGCTTCATTAGAGATTCAAAGCTGACACATGACGAACTGATCAAGGCCCTAGCAAGTATGAATTCTAAACCAGACCTACGAGAAATTTTCCAGGTAAGAATTCATGACCTAGGAATCTGATGTGAGATCAATCTTTTTTCTTTTACATATTTCAATATTGAGTTGGTTATCATGATTTCATCATTTCGGATGGATCCTCAACAGAGCCTCTGAGATCTACCATAGACGGTGTGTCAAAACAGGATGACAGATATTAATTTTCTACAGTACATAGGTGACCCATACAAAGTTCGGGGATTAAATGGATCATGAATACCAAAATCCAAAAGGCTATAGGGTCATATAAAAGGGATTTTTAAAAAACAAATCATGTGATTATGATTTATAATAAACTGATTAATACAAATCAGCCAGATGTAACAAATGTAACAATAAGGGGCAGAGGGGACATATATATTCCAGTATACATTTTCTGGTTGTTGTAGGGGCTTTTTGAGCAGATCCTTTGTACGGACCAATTTGACCTGTTTGTACAACTGATGAACCAGAAGAATATTGAGCTCCAGCAGCAGGCCCTCATGTTGATAATGAAGCGACAAGGCTCCCTCCCCACCAGTTTACAGGACGACAAGCAACATGCTGCACCTCCTTCGCAGGAGCAGTTCCACTCTGAGGAGGAGGTCCTGCGGAAAGTTCTTATGTAAGTATATTAGGGGTTCTGTTTCATTAAGTATTGCTGTATTATCTGTGGAAGTTGACATATTGGTACTGTTCACAGGGCTGTCTTTGTGGCATTCAATATTGACATTTTAAATGTAAGGTATTTTCACACTACAAAACTAAACAATCCTGAAAACCTTAAATGGTACACTGCATTTGTATTTTAATTCACACATAAATTTACATACAACATAGTACAAAAGAAGAAAACGTTTTAGTCATGGAGTCCTGATTGGCTTTGAAGGAATATGTGTTTCTCTAAACCAAGAGCAGTAAATGTGTAATTCATGACACAGTGTGCTGGAGTTAAAATGTACATTTATTTATTTTGTTACAGGGAATCTGAAAAACCAAAGGAGACCCCAAGAGGGGGCACTCCGGCACGAGCGTCCCCTGAGGAGCCCCCCCGGGCGGTGATAGCCTCTCTGATGTTAACACCCACACATGTCCAGGCAGAGGGTCTCAAGCTGGAGGAGGAGAGGACCAAAGGGCAGGAGAAAATAGTGGAGGTACACAGTTATAACAGGACTACCTTTAAACTTGATTATCATTGCTAATGTCTAAAAGGTTACAAGTTTGGCTTTTTTAATTAAACAAACTTTTTTTATGTCCTCAGAATTGTTGTTGAAGTTAGATTGATTGTTGTTGAAGTTAGATTGATTATTGTTGAAGTTAGATGAATGATGAAAAGGCCTACTATTTCTGTCATGATATTTAGGAGATGAATAACAGGCGAGTGATGCATGGCAATTGGGCCTCTTGTACATACAAAAAAGTTTTCCTTCAATCACTGCCATATTTAAACACAGAGTTAACTTGCTACATATTTAAGTGTGTTTGATGTGTGTTACAGGCGATGCACAATGTGTCCATTAAAGACACCCCTCCGGCACCAGCTCCTGTAGCAAGTAAACCCTCCAAACCTCTGACCGACCTCAAATCTGCAGTAAGTTACGGCCCAGTACTTACTACTTAGAACCCTATTTATATATCATGTCCACAATTTTATTGACTTAGCCTTTTATAAATCTTGACCACTGAAAATATCATTACACATATGTACAAATGAGCCATCTATATGCTGAGTTTAGATCTTAAAACCACAGAACAACAAAATGAAGCTGAAGAAAAAGAGTATGTTAGTAGGGTAAGAAATAATGTTTGCCGATCATGAGAACTGGTATATAGAATCCTTAGTTTCATACCTCCCAGTATTATTGCTACTGTCAAATGTACTTGTCTCATAGCTTAGTCTCCAAAGGGAAACACAGCTTATCCAATTCTGTTAAAAAAAAACTCTTTAAAGAACAAAATAAATTTTGCTCTTTTCCTTCTTCTACAGAGCTCAATGACTATCTAACAGGATTTGAAAAGTCATAGCAAAAATAAGATTGTGACTGTAAACTGTTCCAGGACAGCTCCAGACACCTAATTTACATCAGCTTTGAAAATACATCTCTAATTTCCGCTTCAAAAATATGTGTTCCTCAGATGAAGTCAGTGTTGATGTTGTAGGCATATTTTCATTAGTCATAAAAAGTTTTAACAGTTTTAGGTTTTCCTGGGGTGGTTTATTATTTCTGGCTTGTGAAATTCTACTGAAGATTAACAAAAATGCCATTCCATATGAAAGTTGGAATAGACATTAGATAATGCAGTGGGTACAAATATTCCAGCTCCTTCCCAAAACATTAGAAGTCAAAGATCAGATGAGCTTCATCCCAGCCTTACTTTCTGACTACTAAAGATTACTGGATGGAATTTCCGAGTCTCAAGATTTGTGATTCGGAAAGTTAAGATTCGTTTAAGTACATTTAATAGGAATGAACACATGTAAAGATCGACATTACTCTTATCTACAGAAGATTTTTATTGTATTGTAATAAACAGCAGAGGCGTTAATGTTTCTGAGACATATTGCTCTTAGTTTCCTAATGACTTTGTGTACCTGTTTTCAGCCTGCTATAGCTATTACACCAGCACCAACACAAAAACCTGCTCCAGTCAAACCAGTGGCTGCAGTGACAGTCCCGGCCAAGTCCACCCCCAGCAAACAGGTTCCTCTGGGGGCTGCCACCCTCCCCAACATCTCTGGGCAGTCCAAGGTGACAGGATCACAGGCAGCTGCCATGTGGATGCAGGAAGCACAGAATGAGAAAGTGTCTGGAAAACCATCAGCAGCTGTCACGGCTGCCGCTGTGAGTGGCGTACAGAATACATTTTCACAATTCAGAAAAAACAAGTCTTCCTTTTTTTCTTTGATGATATTGATGTTGCTGGCAAAGAATTAATCTTTTACTCTTTTCAATTTGATCATCACGAATCAAGAATTGATATGAAAACACATTGTCACTTCTATATTATACATGTATTAAGCTACATGTATTTCCCCTTCATCTACCCTCAAGATGAATATGCTACTTTATCAATTAGTTAAAAGTTTGAAAGTCTGCAAAATAAAAGCTTTTAATTTTTTTCGATAATTGGATTAAATTAGATCATAAGACAAATGAAGTTACCCCACATCTCATTTATAACTGATAATACTTTGCTCTTGCAGGCGGAATTGTCCAAGCTTGATGCAGCACAATTGAAGCAGAGACAGGAGTACCTGAAGCAGCAGAGAGACAAGCTTCTGTCCATGAAGAAGGCTGAGCGGGAGAAACAGCTTTTGTCTGCAGAACAGTCTCAGCAAGCACGTCCGACATCTGCAAGGGTTGCACGTGCAGCGCTTAAAAGTCAGAAGGAGGAACTCTCCCCATCCAAAACCCTGAGTCCGGAGGAGGAGAAGAAAATGGCCATGCGACGTGCAATAGCCAGCAGGCTAAAGGCCGAAATGTTAGAAAAATAATAAATGGAATTCTTTTTTGATATTAAGTTTGTAATAAGAAATGAGTAGTGGTTTTGAAAATAGAAGATATCTGGTAACTGTATGAATTTATTTTTCACTATTCAGAATAATATTGTCTTTTTACAAATTTGCAATACTGACTGGTGGGTTATTGGTTAGATTCATCAAATCTTATTTTGAAATTACACTTCAGATTAATAGATATCATCCAAAATTCACCAAGTAAGTTTCAAAACATTACAATATAGTATGATTGCAATATTGAGTTAGATGTCTGGCAGTGTGAGATCATCTTTATGTAAATCATGTCATAAAGGTATAAAATGTCATATTGTATACACAACATATTTGTTAACTCATATTTTAGGAGGAATATTTTCCTTTAAGCCAATAGTAGCATCTTTTTTAAACTATACATATACAAGATATTCAAATTAGAAAAGTGGTGGACATTTAGATGTTACCTGTAACTAGCCCAGGGTACCTGGCCAAGGAATCACAATACTTCTGAACTTTAAAAAACATTATCAAAGCCTACAATCAGATACGGATTTCTTCAAATGTTAATTTGAATTTTGTGTTGATGAGTTATAAGTAATAAGTCATTTTTTGACAAGTGAAACAGTGGATGAACTACAGAAAATTTAACACAAGATTATTTATAAAAGAGAGGAAATGTGATATTTAAGAATATTTATGGTAAGCTAATTAAGTTATAAGAGTGTACCTTTAAGTTTTGTGATATTACAGCCAGATCCTTGTGAAGGGTATAAAATCAAAATTGGAGTTTATCATGAATTTAATTTCTTGTGTTAGGACCCTTTGTAAGGTATAACCCTACAATGTAAAATCTGTTTACATCAGGGTAGGGCATGCATAATACTGAGCATTATTACAGGTAAAATACTGTAATACCTGTAGCATCATTGTGGAGTGGGACCACCTGTATTACAAGTTTATAAGGAAGATTACAGTAATACCTGTATCATTGTGGAGTGGGACCACCTGTATTATAGGTTTTTGTAATACCTGTATCATCATTGTCTAGTGAGATCATTTGGTGGCACTTCCTTATGTCTAGCCTTAATGTTATAGCAAGTATGAGAAAGCCTTGCCATTTCATAAATCTTATTTTTTTGCAAGTGTGTGCTTTATCTCTGTCTTTCGATTTGTGTGCTATTATATATAATATAGATACTTTATATATATGTAGATGTTGTCTGCCAGTGTTGGCATTCCCCTCTATAATTCTGTTCTTTTAAACGGGTTAATATTTTACTTACTTATAATAAAAAAAAAAACATTTTTCGGCTATTTAACTGTACTGTGGTTGTGGGAGGTCATATTGCTCCAGCTGTTCAACATTGTGATCGACAACTCATTCCAACCCAAAAATGGGGACTGAGAGTGGGTTACATCACAAAGTATCATTATTTGTTCAATCTGATATAGAGAGGTAATGGAAAGCATTAAGTATTGGACTCCTATGATATCTTAAAAACACTATTAAACATCAATGTTTCATGTGCCATTGATTTCTCCCTCTGCAGCATCTAAACCTTCAGATAGCTAGTCATACTAATAATTATACATATATATTAACAATATATAAAATATATGAAATTTAGCTACTTGGTACACAGAATATAACTGCAGTATAGCCATTTGAAGATAAGACATAATAGAATCTGTTTTATTCTCCATCCAGTGTATTTAGAGTAAGGAATATCTCGGTTGTGACATTATAAATGTATTACATTTGACATCACTGGTTTGTGTGCTGAGTGACTGTCACGTCTGTAATAGAAGTATTACACTACCAGCATATCAAGCACAAAGTGCCCTTATTTCTTCTTCCAATAAATATTTGATCAATCAGAAAAACAATCTTTTGATGTAAACAAAAATTGTTTGCATTAAATGACAGAGATTTTGATGACGGATGATTTGGTATTATTGTTTGATGATGATAAATGATCCCCTTATATTTGGGTACACCAACCAGTGCTGGTCTGGGGGACATTTTGTCTGGCCTGGAAAATCGGATCAATCCCTGATTTTTTAAGACACCCTGTGACCGAACTTGTATTAATTATTAAAATGTTTTAACACATCAAGGTTCTTTCAAGCACCAGCTACCCAGTAAGTTTCCTAGACACTGGTGTCTGGTGTTGATGTGTAATTATACAAGGCCTGAAAGCCTTATTGTACGGACCCTGTGATCATGTTTTTTTGACCAAAGACTCCACCGACAAATATGCCTTGAGATTTATTACAGCTTGTTCTCACCAGTGTGTTGTTCACATCCATGCTATATCCACATCACAAGCATTTCACATGTGTAGGAAGTAAAGCAGAGTTATGGTTCTTATAGGAAGTGTTTTGTATTTGTTTTCAATATACCTGATTCTGTGATAATAAAGTTTATTATACATTCCATCCCACAGTAAATTTAATAACAATATTAATGACTCTGTCCTCATTGTTAAATCTATACCAAGATGTATATATATGAACCACATATCATGTTTTATAAACAAACTTAGCAAGCTCATATCACAGGTCCATATCATGTTAATTACTTTGAGAGGAAACTTATCAGTCCTGGGCCCACTTGTATAAAACAACTCAAAGTTAAGGAAAATCTCAAGCAATGTATTGTCTTTGGGAAATCTTAGACTTGAGGAAATCTCAAGAGTTGAGATGTTTTATACAAGTGGGCCCTGGGTCATTATTCTTGGGTAAAAAGTTATTGGTCTTTGCAGTATTTTGCAAGGAAAGGATACATCTATAATCAATAAAATGAATCTGCTTTTAATTAATTGTTCTATACATTCCGTCCTTGGAAAAAGATATTTATATTCACACACACACCTATATATATATACATGATTTTTTACTATTTATTCAGCTTTAGGGCTTTGTGTTTCAGACACATTCCATTCCAATGACACGAAAAATCCATTTAAAAAAGAAATCCTCATCATATACTTTTAAAATCCATCATTCCAGGTCTGCTTGAAGAACTCTATTTTCATTTGATACAGTTTAATTGTAAATGTTTAGAACCACCTTGTGTATTGTTTTTCTACAGTTCTGTCATATATGATGCTTTTTTGGGTCATACTATATGTTGTTTCTAATGTAGACATGTTGATCCATTTAAAATTAATTCCGAAGAAGATTGTCAAAATGCATTGAAAATGTCACGAAATCATTCTTGAAAATTAATGTTGCTTCTTAGATGCACACTGTGAGTTCATTGTGATCAATACTGGTTTAATCATGTTTTGAAATTTGAAAAATGATGTTTCCGTCAAATAGATGTTTATATGACAATGAAAACACTTCATGACACTTGTAGAACACACTCTGATGTGGTTGGTGAGATTTTTCACATTTACTTTATACATATAAAAAAAAAACATGTTGGTCTTCCTTCACCACTGACTCAGCATTCATCACACAGAGTGACAATTCCATCACATTTTACCCAGCACTGCACGTCGGTCTATCAAAAGTAAAGAGTTTCTAACTGAAAGTACATTTTGACCAAAAAGTACAAATTTTACAATTCATAAAATGTTATTTTTGTGGGTTAATTTGTAAAAATGTAGCATTAAACTATTAACATGGCAAGTAGATCATTTTAAAGTACGTATTGAACGATCTCCAATCTCAAACTACACTCTGCAACGACAGCATAAGAAAGAGATGGTAAGGAAAAGAGAATTAAGACAGGGATTAGTGGTAACCTTATACTCTGTACAGCATTCTGACTGAAACTTCTCAAAACTTAACACCAAAACGTATGACGTCATCACTAAAGTGATTTAAAGTTTTAGTACTCGGTAGCCATTATTTAACAGTATTGCACGATTGCTGCTGTAGGATTTAGAGTTGGAGGATCGCACGAACCATGTTAGATCTGTATGTAAAGATTACTTTCCTGTAAGTGCATTCTACATTGCCTTTAATGGTGTATAGATTGACAACGTATATATGTGTTTGTAATGATCTTGTGATTGTGTCTTATGTGCAATTTTCCCTGACCTCATAATGTGAATATATATACACATATTTCCAGTTCAAATCTTGTTACTGAGTGAAATCATGATATAGATGTTGCGTCTGTATATTTCACCAGGAAATCCTCCGAGTTAAATTAGGAAAAATCACTTTCAGACTCTTTTTACAATTTGTTCTGCTCACAAAATGAGTATAGCCATTCCGTGTACGTTGAGAGATCAGCTTTTGCTAAACCTTCAAAGATCTCCTGATTCAAGGTTTTACACCTGTTAATTGACACTGTGCTTACTGAGTTGGAATTATTTTGGTTTAAAAAAAAATTATAATCATATCTGAAAAATAGTTATTCCTAGAGAATAAGATACACGTAGTATACAGTAATTTGAAAAAAAATCAGCTTAATCAAGTAGGTATTGAGAATATTTCAACTTAATCGTGACTTGGTAATTGAGAATATTTCAACTTAATCGTGACTTGGTAATTGAGAACATTTCCCCTTAGTCCTATACTGTATCAAAACCAATGTGTATCTGTTTAGGACAGAAGTTCAAGTCCTTTGTCATAAGCAAATCATGCTCAGTAGCTGATAAGAAATGATTTTGAAACATCTGTTTGACATATATGTAAATGAATAAATCTACATTTATTCCTTGAATGTATTCAAGTTGTTTTTTGTCTAAGAGTCAGAGGTAGATTTACTGAGCAATGTCTGAGTGAAACAGGTGCGCTGTGTTTCGTATTTAGTGGTGGTTGAATCCTTTGTACTTCAAAATTCCTGTGCTGAGGGTTGTTTGATGATGTGTAAATTTTAAGGAATACTTCCCCCCCCCCATACATTTCACATCGGTCATTTCCACATCACCAATGATCTTTTAATTGAAAAATTCAACATTGTCAAATTTGTGTTGACTAATTTTTAACAGCTAATGATTATTCCATGAAACTTTACAAGTATATGTACTATGACAAGACAGTGTATCTTGTACCACTCACAGGTTCTTATCCTCAAGGTCAAAAGTGAAATCTCTGAACCATGACTGCTATATACATAGGTTAGTATCTAAGGTCAAGGTCACAGTAGAAGTTTAAATATCAAATAGCGCTTGTCTGTATTGTAACTACTGAACTTCTCAAGTTTATTTCATGGAACTACTTAAACTGTATTGTTGACAAGACTAGTGTGTCACATATTGCACAGAAGTCTATTAATACCAGACCTAGGTGTGGTGTGTGACCAATATCAAGGTTGCAGCAAATGCAAGGAGTCAAATAACTGCAGTGTTTATCTGGACCATATTAACTGAATTACTGAAGATCATTTTATAAAGTGGTCACGGTAATGCTTGTCTAGATGGTCACTTTTGAATAATGGAACATTTAAGAGTATGCGCAGATAACTTTTTTGTTTTGCATTTAAGCGCTTGAGTTATGTATCACACACAGATCCTTGCAGCCAAGGTTAAAGTGACATAAAATTACATAAAGTCAAGATTTTTTTTCACTTTACCCTTGGCGTCAAAATTTCATGAGGGCTGTGTATATTTGACCTTACTTGCAATAATACATCTTTCAAAATTTAATAAAACTTTATATTTTGTTTCAACAACGAAATTTTCCTCATCAAAATTGGAGTAGTTTGATAAACATACATAAGGATACAGAAACAGTGCCCCCAAATCTATCTCAGATGGTGTTTGCCGACTCGGAACTTATTTTGTGCACACTGGCATGGGTCAAGAAAATGAAGGTACTCAATGAAAACTACTTCCAGGAATAACCTTGACCCCCACCAGTATTCACTACTGAACCTGCTACTGGTATCCTAGGTCACATGAATACATGTACTTTATTAGGATTTTGTATCTAATATAACCAATATTGTTAATCTGACTCCTCAGTTTCTGAAAAAACTAACAGGACTATATAAATTTTCTGTATTTCTGAAATCGTCACTAATATTGAACTACTGATAAGCCATTCAAGGCTACTTTATTATGGTTAATCTATTACTCCAACACAGGCCTGTGTAGCTATACATGTACAGGTATAAAGAACTTCACAATGTAACTCTTAATACAAATAAGAGAAGACAAACTAACATATAAAATTACATTTAATAAATGTTATCTAAACTCACGATTTAAATCCCCATTTTAACATTAACTAGTATCTGATAACTTTTTTACATTTTAAACCTCTCACTCGATTTCTCTTTCAAACTGCCTGGTTATACACACGCCATACAAAACACTCACAAACAGATCATAAATCTCCTACACAATATAATTATATGCAATACTATTTTTTATCTTTCTTTTTCTTCTTTTTCTTGCTTTTCGTTTCTCCTAATGCCAAGCCATCACCTAATTCTTCATCATCATTCCTTTTCTTCCTTTTCTTCACTGAAATACCAGGCACAGTGATCACGTCCTCAGACGAGGTACCAGGGACAGGTGTTGTCCTGGTGAGTTTATCACCTGTGTATAAGATGACAGTTATAACTTGTTATGTTCTACTACAATTATGTTCTATAGTGTCAAGTACAGTTAGTGTTCTATAGTGTCAGTCCTGTAATCTACATTGTTTACTATGACAATTCTGCATATGTCACAATTTCTTTTTTAGACAATTACTATATTTCAAAATTATAGCTAATATATACAGGTATGTTTCACTTTGTATAGATTTCTATGCCATTTTAATTGATTACTTGTGCATTCATCATTTCTGGATTATTAACATTTCCATTTTCTTCAAAAGCCACGTAACTACATATATTTTTATTGACAAAAAAATTTGTAATTTGAAGCAGAACTCATTCTCGAACCCTTATCATATGAATGTATATTACGCATCATATAAAATGAATTCAGACAATTTACCTGCACTGACTGACCCATCTGCATTGTCAGTGCCCTGTTGACCTTTGGCTGCTTGCCACAGAGCATTCCTCTGGAAGCGTTTGGCTGCGCCTTTGTCGATATGTGGCATGATTGTAAGTTTGTCCTGGACGTCCTTCACCCGGGTCATATAGCTCCTGATACGGTCCTGTTCAACAAGTATGTTACAATTATCAGTACAACAGCAGTTTACACAACTTGTTTTGAACACAACCTCAAAAATAACTCATTTGGAAACAAGTTTGAGCATCAGATCTGTAACATTTTTTGAGACTTGCTCCAGGAATATAAATACCTGGTATGCACCAAAAAATACACTGCATACCGGGAAATGTCCGCCCTAGTTTATATTTTGCTCTTCATAATGAGGTATAATTTATTATCACAGCAAATATAAGTAAATAGCATACTAGACCATATATCGTATTTGCATGTGATGAGCAAAAATAACATGGAGTGAGTATAGATTTCACCAGGGAAGGGCACAAGTGTGACTAGGCATAAACTTTGAAGTTTATTTTTGGCATCGAACATAACAGAAACATCTCCTCTTTAATAGAATTGACTCCTGTTAATTTTTAATGACAAATTTTGAATGTCTTTTGAGAAAGGCTCTGGAAAACACAAATGTGCACCAAAATGTCAATATTTCTGGATTTGCTTCCATGACAACTGAAAATTCATTGAAAAAGATCATGCAATATATAAACATTGTTGAGATTTTCAAATTCCATCTCACAAATGAAAAGTTGGTATAGAATTAATGTATAAAACAGAAGTCCCAGCAGTGTGTAGAACCGGGTTACCTACCAGTTCCTGTTTTACTGCATGTTCCTTAGGTTTCTCTCCACACACATTCAGGTACACTGCAGCAAACAAGTGTTATAGTTATCACAGAAAACAGGTTATAAGTTAAAACTAATGTTTCCTAATCCACTTTTAACTGTCATACTTGCCATGTCACATACTTATCTGTATACCATGTACAACAGAAACGTTACTCTAAATAATAATGACATGCAAAACAAATTCTATAAATATGTAAAAGATGTGGATTAGTTAGGTTGCCTTACAAGTGTCAACTGTAGGGAATTTCCCTTTAGCTCAGCGGTAGAGCATCGGGCTGGAGAGCCAAGGGTCGTGGGTTCGAGCCCCAGCAACGGCACTATCTATATCACTATTCCTCGTCCTATTACAAATAACACATCTACTTATGGTATCAAACTTCAATAACCTTGAAGCTTGTAAAGTTACATTTAGGTATACTAAGATAATATCCAGTGCTTACTCGCCCTGTTCTTTTTATCTGTTTTATATTTTGAGAATCTATATGTAGCTAATACACATTCAGTATCAACAAAACTAATTCACTTATATCTGCGTCTGTTTTGGTTAGGAACAGGAGTGGTTGATGTACCCTAGGCAGGACTTAGCAAGACTGAACCATGCCTCTAAGGCAGGGCTTAGCAAGACTGAACCATGCCTCTAAGGCAGGGCTTAGCAAGACTGAACCATGCCTCTAAGGCAGGGCTTAGCAAGACTGAACCATGCCTCTAAGGCAGGGCTTAGCAAGACTGAACCATGCCTCTAAGGCAGGGCTTAGCAAGACTGAACCATGCCTCTAAGGCAGGGCTTAGCAAGACTGAACCATGCCTCTAAGGCAGGGCTTAGCAAGACTGAACCATGCCTCTAAGGCAGGGCTTAGCAAGACTGAACCATGCCTCTAAGGCAGGGCTTAGCAAGACTGAACCATGCCTCTAAGGCAGGGCTTAGCAAGACTGAACCATGCCTCTAAGGCAGGGCTTAGTAGGACTGAACCATGCTTCTAAGGCAGATTCAATAGAACAAGATTCATATCCAATTAAAAACATGCATTGCAAAAAAAATCATCTTAGAATCAAATTTTAATTTAATACATTACGACGAAATATGTTTTATGTTGAAAGATGTGAAATGTAATGACTACTTACTCCAAAACAAAGAATTAATTGTGTAAGCACCAACCAAATCCAGTTTGGCTTTGTCAAGGGGAGATAACTGAAAATATACAAAAGTAATAACACTTGATTGATTCCTATTGGCAAACAAGGTCCAAGGCATTACATGTACATGCAACAAGGAAACAACAATGTATGAAGATGCACATAAAACAATAAATATCCTACTTTAAAAGCTGCTTTCTGGAAATTATGGCAATGTATAACACACCTGACAATGTTGATTAAATATCAACTCTTAAATATCAAGTCTTCCCGGTATATATAATGCAGAGTATATCCTACCCTGCAATGTCTTGTACAGAATGTAATAAACCTATAACAAATGTCACTTGATATCATACCTTCTCATGTAGCTCACTTTCTGGCACTTCCAGCCAGGGGTGGACAATCTTTTCCATGTCTGATAATGACGTGTCAAATGCTGCTAGCTTTTCCTTTAACTCAGAAGGTATACTGTTTTCACTCCCATCTGCTGTTGCCATGGTGTCAGTTTCGAGCTGGAGTGCTCTGTAAAATATGATCATAACACAATCAGGATTTTGCATTCAGATAGGTTGCTAATTATAACACAGTCTTAGTTTTATGTCCAGTAGCAGGCTTTAGTGGCGTAGCAAATCATTTTTCGGAATGTATGCTTACATACCTGGTAGCTGGAAAAAAAATCTACTAGGCCCTAGAAGCAATCTCCTGTGTTCTCAGGGAACACCTTTTAGTCTGATTATTAACAAGTAAAAGTTTTACTTGCTTATGATAAGACTAAAATGCCCTCAAAAGATTATCTGAGGACAGCAAGTTATAATATGTTCCGTCGGACTAAAATTATCAAGAAGATTTTTCTTATTACTTTCCTTTTTTATGATTGATACGCACGGTCCATATTAATCATATAAAAATATATATATATGATTGAAAACAAATCTTAATTTTTTGTGTGTAGGTTATGCCACTCAGGGCTTGTGGTATCACAGAAGTCAAATAAGATTGGTCTGTGGTTTGTATGGCCTATTAAGGTATTCAGAAATAAGTCCATCATATTTTTTTCACTAGCTAGTATTTGCATGCTAGATTTATAGTCCACAAAACGAGAAACGACCACATACATATACCATCTTTGATAAGAGATTTCAAGGTTATTCAGTGTCGAAGAACAGGAAACAAAAATATGATTTTATGAAATGGAAGATCTGAAATTTATAATTGATATTCCTAACAAAAAACGTCTCTGTGTTTTATACACATCAAGCTATGTACCGTTCCCTGAGTGGATATAATGAACATCATGGTTTTTTTTCTAGTTCTACCATATAGTGACCACCTTCAACTAATTGAAGATTTTGTCATAAAGTTGGGTTTATGCAGCACAAATGACCCGGTAATGAAGTGGTAAATTATTATGTTTTGCTATAGCCACTTTATTCTTAGTCGTATGTCAGCTTCAAAGTTTGATGAACAAACAACTGCATGACCAAACACAGCGCTACAGGGACCAAACATTTGTAAATTAACAGGGTAGTAGGTATATATTTACGTGTTTACTGTACGGTTTGGAACAATACTTGACAAAATGTCAATGTAAGGTATATTATTCCTAACAGATCAGGACAGGCTCAAACATACACAGGTAGACACATCTAGAACGTTACGGTAACAAATTATCGGGGCTGACTGTGATTTGTGATTCAGGAATGCTTCGATTGACATCAAAGGTAATGCTAGTATATGTAAGAAAGTGATGTGTTATTAAAAATAGCATTGTTGCGAACTACAGGCATCTACATCAGATTTGTCAAACATCCCTGTCATCTCAGTGTTATATACTGAACTAGTGAGACGCCGAGTTCAAACATAACAAACCAGCTATCTGTCACAATAACAGCGAGTAGCATTTTTTTTTATCTCTATAATACAATTATGCATATATCTTACCAAACCCTCGAAACTCGTGGTCGTTGTTTTGCCGGAAGTGTGTAACCGGATATGATTATCTCCCTTGGACAAAAGGCCGAATGGGCCTAAATTGTTCGGGTTGGGTGATCTCCTGTTGAAATAATCGAAAAAGGATCATCAATATATTATATTGACATTCCCTTTTCAATTACTTTCGTATTCTAAGATTTTCCTTTTCAAGCAAACGTAAAAATCGCAGTAATTTGATAAAGAGACAGTAATTACGTGCACAAGGGATGTCCATCTCCACATTCGCTTGTATCAACTTTAATCATCTCTAACTACCATAATCTATGAATTGTAGAATTTGTCCTTGTATATTCGTACAGTAATTTAGGTCCGTGCAGATTAAATATAGCGTACATATTCTAATTACACTGCATGTACTCACAGGGACCTGAGAATTTGGTACAGCTATATTTGGACCTAAACCAGGGTGTTCAGAGTAATTTTACATGTTTTAGGGGTTAAGATCGACTTTTGGTAAAAATGACACTCCCAATGATCATATATGCGAGACTCGTTTATATGATCATTGAGGGTATCATTTTTACCGGAAGTCGATCTAATCGACTTTTGGTAAAGATGAAAGTCGATATAAACCCCTATAACATGTAAAATTACTCTGAACACCTAAGTTCAGGTCCAAATATAGCTGTAACAAATTCTCAGGTCCCTGTGCAAGAACTTATACCTCGAGTAAAAAAGAACTGATTTCGCTAATTTTTGCAATGATTCGCCGAGCCTACACGTGGTATTCTTTGATCGGTTGAGAGTCGTACGGCGCTCAGGATTCAAATCGCAGTTTACTTGCTGTAAAATAAATGCCATTTGCAAAAAATGTCAAATAAATACATAATTACGGTGAATCAAATGAGCGTTGAATAGTTAATATTTCTTTTCGTCTACTTTTTGTCGGTAATTCGAATCTAAATCCATAAATTTAGAAAATCATTGATAAAATAGTTGTAAGGGTCGTTTACCATAGCCTGTAAATCCGTACGGCCAGATTATTGTACTATCAACCGTCACTTTTAAATGTGCATTCAGTATGTAAGCTCATATGGATAAAAAAAACCACCATTTATCAAATTCAAGAAGGTTTTACTTTCCCTGTTCTGGACGTTTTAAGCAATGATTTTCATGAAGATGCCTTGATTTCTATTATTTTTTCTTGTCTTATAATAACAGGTACTTTTATGTTCCTTTGTGTTTTGCAATAACCGTTGATCATTAGAATCAATAAAGTTTGAAGGGATTGTCTCCCTTACCGTGTGCAATATCACGGGTTAGCTGTTATCTGTTATAGTGGGTCTTAACTTGTTCGCTTTCTGCTCGGAGGACACCAGTTTTTCCATACATCGTCACGAACTTAGATAAATTTTCATTTGAGGTATAATGTTCGGACAGTTTTGTTTTCTGCATTCTCGAAATTCCAGTGGTTAAGCTCACTTACGTTATATTAAGCATATTTGGTATACCCATATGGGTTACATTTTCATTAAACTATTATCTTCATGACGACGAAGCCATGGAGTCGGACTCGTCAACCAGGTAACAAGACTGGTATTTTGCACTGGAATCACACGTTGAAAAGGCCGCTACTCTCTTATACAGCTGGGTAGACGGGAAGCAGTACGACAATAAAGCATGAAACGGATTACCCAATCTGATTAAAATACCACAGCTCCTCTCTACTATAGTATGAGGTAGAACGATAGTATAATGAGGGGCTGTATTGTAATCAGATTGCGGATTACCCTAATAGACTGGGGAATGTTCGTCAAGTCAGACATGCGCACTTCGCCGATGAAATCCCTATTCGCCCAGCGTTATTTTCGCCCTTTAGTATTAGCCATCATCATAACTTCGCCCTCATTACAGGTGGAAAAAAGGGCGAAAGCTAAACAGCGGGAACATTTCTCGGTGTACAGTGTAGTTTTTCCTAACAATCAATCTCCGTCCAATCATTTTTAAAAGTGTACAGTTATTTTAAAGTAACAGTGTATCTATCTGTAGTGAGCTGGCTTATTCTTAACGCTTGTGTTTTGTGCGAGTCGCGTGCACGTGCCGAAGTATATTAATTTGTTCACTTTATCCAAAAGGGAAACGAGTTTACGTAAAACCGATTTTGCCCATTTCAATGTATATATCTGTTTTGATATTATATTTAATTTTGTCTTAAGCTATTTTATCGATTGGTCGATTTTTTTTCTGAAATCCATCAAACGAATGGTTGACAAATATGTTCCTACATGTAGTACTACGCATATACCTGAAGACAGTATAAGTTAAGTTTATTCCGGTACAGGATTTGAACAATCTTCTTCACCGGATTAAAAATCATACAATACCGGCATAGTACATGATGATACTAATGATGTAAACATATGTACAATGTAATATAGAATATATAGATCATAGTGAAGTTCCGTTAAATTTTGATTTAAGTTCATCATATCAAAAGTTCGGCTCTGTAATTATAAATCATCTTTTTCCAAAACTTGTCTGGTCTTTTTTTAAACAGTTTGTGCCACTATGTGTTGTATCATTCATTACATTTCCTAATGGACAACAGACTTCGGTCATTGTGTTTCCATGCTTAAACAGAAAATGTGCAATCATGACAAATTTATAGAAAGTGTCGCAATTCACGTTGTTCTTTGGGAAATTATGATTTTCCAATATCATCTAGGTATACACATACTGACTGTAAATGACCTTCCACGGCAGAAAATCCATCATCGTTTTGTTTAATTTGCTGAAATCGATCCAATATTGTTAACAAATTAAATTCATGGCAGATACAGGCGTGATCACGTCTCTCCCTCCATCTGTCAAACTAGACCCTACTCTACTATACTGATCAGGTCGATCATACACTATAATACACATAGAAATAAAGTCCTCTCAAAGTTTGTCATCGCTCTCTCCCCTCCATCTGTCAAACCAGACCTTACTCTATGATACCACGGAATTAGAATTAGATAAGTCCGTGATGATACTGATCAGGTCGATGAAATAAAGTCCTCTCAAAGTTTGTCACCTCTCTCCCTTCCATCTGTCAAACCAGACCATACTCTATGATACTGGTCAGGTCGGTTTAAACAATATTTATTACTTAAATTCATTTACAACTTATAAACAAGAAAGGTAAAACAGTACAGGTACAAAACAGCCGTAACTTTATTGCAATTGAAACACACCAATATAATCAACAAATAAAATCACGGTAAATAAATGAAAATATTTAAAAGTAAATCAATTGAAATGAACGTGTTTGTCCGTAAACAATGATGTATCGGTTTGTCCGTATTGATAGCCTCATTGTTACGGCACATGCAATGTGGAGATACGCAGGTGGGCTGGTGTTTCTACTTTTCCGTTACAATCAATATTGACTCGGAGGCAATCCTACAGTATGCTAGAGATATTCGGCGGAATACACAATAACCAATATCTACCTGTACAACGTGCCCGTGCGCTGGCTGTCAGATTGTTTTCATTTTTTCTCTTCTAAGGAATAAAAGAATTCGAATTATTTAGTTCACAAGGATCTATATGGACAGTGAAGTAGGGAGTGTGTGTTACTCCACACCGATCAGGTTATGTCAAGTTCTCTGTCGGTCGTGTACCGTAAAACGTGTTCACTCAAGTGTGACCACGGTCCACACATTCCACTGATTATTGTGTTGAACGTGGTAAGCCCGCGCCCGACTGAATCGCGATCATATACGATTTCGTACCTGTGGGCTCAGGTGAGGTGTGGACTGGCAGAGTACGGCATATACTCACCTGTAGGGCCAGGACAAGTGACACCCTACTGACAATACCGGGGCAGTGAGTGGCTCTCTCACCTGTCTTTGACGGATATTATAGGGAAGTGCTTACACCTGTGGAATACCTGTCTTATAGGGATGTGTTTACTCGAGGAAAAGTTTTAAAGAAATGAACGTTTAAACTACATGACACGAACCACGTTGGATGTTTTTATTACGTATCAATCGTATTGTCTTGTAATTAACGATATAATACTTTTACATACCTGTGCAAACAAGGATTTTATCAGCTATTCTTACCTCGTGTGATATGTTGCCAACACTGGTGGTTTTATTTATCTTCTCAAGAAGGCCGTCGACGAGTAAAGAAATACTGTATGCCATATCTATATAGTGTACGATATATAATATTTACTTTGTGGCTTTACGTGAAAACTATTTGACCGAGTTAGCGCTGGAACTTGTGTTTTATAACTTTCGAGTTGAGGCGACCCCCGGGACTGAGCGGGATGAGTGAGGGCGGGCTAAGGATGCTGGGTGTTGTGATAATGATGACAGGTGTGGCTGGAGTTTCGGCCCAGTGCCAGGGTCCCAGCACTGCCGTAGTGGTAGTGGCCAGTGTCTTCAGCACACTCGCAGTAATTTTTTTAGTGTTGGGAATTATTGCTTTCCTGGTCTGGAGACGTCGTAGAGGTGAGTCTTTATGTGATGTATTACCAGTTATCACATAGATACAGATATCGGGATAATATAAGGTATATATGCAGGTATATACATATATTTACCTGTGCTAGCGTCATAATATTTACACCTGTAAATTGTGATGTGTATTAGAGAACTGTTTAAATAAACACAAATGTTTCACAGTTATGAGGTCTCCGCACCCCCTCCCCCTAACACCCTAAAATGTCATCCAAAGTCAGCTTACATGCTTAATGTACAACTAGGGGTGAACATTATAGTATATCTAACATATTCCAGTAAATTGGTCACAAATATCTCCAGAGCATATTGTTTGTCGGACAATACCAATGTCCAACTTGACCCAAGGCCTGAGAAGTTAATCACAATAATAACGTCTAGCCTCTGGGCTCTCCGATACCTGACACAACCAGTCCTGTGTGTTACTTAACAGCAGATACCTGTAATGATGTGCATGGTCTAATATGTTTTATAACCACCTAGAATGAATCATCGTGCATTCCAGTGAATTTTTCTACATTGAAGTTATTGATCTTAGAAATATGCTATCTGTGTGGGTTTTATCAGACATATCATGTAGGCAGGGTTGTGTATATCACACCTGTCACTGCGCTACATCAAGAAACATTGCAGGTAAATAGCGTGAACTAACTCTACACCTTGATACAAATTTGTAGATTCCACAGGCTGCAACAAAATATTTTGGGACAATATATCATTGATCAAAGATATGTTCTCATGTTGAAACAAATTTACCAAAAAATGCAACTTCTATAATAAAGACATCCAACTTCAATATTCACTGTCTTTTGTAAAAAAAAAAAGTTTACAGTTCCTTCTTGTGTTCCTTTCTAACCCTAATTTTAACTATATTTAAATTAATTCATAACTATATCTTGTGGCTATTGAGGTCAGATCTCATAACTTGGTTGATGCCTTATAGCAGTGTTGTGTATCGGTCCTTTTTTAGACAGGTATCTCTGCTATGTGGCGATTAAACATAAAAACACTGCCAGACTTAACGACTTACAATCTGATTTATCTTTACCTGCAGGACAATCAAATCTTACTCATCTAGCTTGTTAAAGCAGTGACCTTGTTCCGTTAGCATTCTAAAACAATGACCTGACATAGTTATACCTAGTAGGTGTCTAGGGTACTGTAAATCTTCCTACTCTGTGACAACTCTTAGATGATAGGGAACTGGTTTGGTTTAGTACATTAATTACCACAATATGGTTTGGCATGGGGTATTCATGCCAAAAAAAAATAAAAAAAATCTACCCTGCAAATAAGCAGAATGCATGGTTTATTACTATCACCATACAGGATTTGTCAGTCGTTGATACATTTTGGCATTGTGCTGAGGTTCTCCTTTGAAATAGTTCTCTCGTTTGACGACTAATTAATCTTTCAAGATATTTTAATAGATCTGTATAGCTCTATATGATAACTGTGGTTATAAAAGTAGTAATAATGTTGAATGTGAAGGACATATTACATTGTAGCACTTAGCAATACCCTGGAGGGTCACCTCTCATTATAACAGTATTGATTTTCAACAGGTATCAATATACTGTACATATTTACTATAGAACGTTGTCTACCTCATCAGAAGTACACTGCTTGTCGTTTCATAGGTCTAGTCGACCATGCTGGTCAAATGAGAGATTGTATATATTATTTAAACTCAAAGAATAAAGGGATCAGATTTCTTTCAGTATGTCTTTTTAATTTCATATTAAGTAAAAAGTAAAAACATTTTTATGAAAAGAATTGAATTATAAAGTCTGATATTGAAATAAACCAAATGGTGTATGTTTAAATCATTGATAATAAGTCCTTCCTTTTGTTGATGTCTTGAATCGTAAAAGACCAATTGAAGTGCTCTAAATGAAGATAAGTAGTTCTAGATTGAAGTCCAAACAAATTGTTTGACATTCATTTGTAGATGATTACACAGGTCATTGTAAGATGAGGGACTATTGACATTAGTGTTACACTGTGGGCCAGCTGAATGATACCTGGTTGTTGCCGAATTGTAATTAAAGGAGATATTTGTTGTCTTGATTTAGATCTCCACTGTCTAATTTATACGTAACAAAGAAAATTAAAGGCTGTTGGCGCCCCCCCCTAGTGAAATCCCATACACACATGTTGACTTGTAGAGAATTTGATCTGAGAACCTTTATACAAATCAGACTATTATGGGTAGAGATAAATACCCCCACACCATTGTTGACACAGCAAGGAAATGATCTAGATCTGTGACATTCCAATGACGTAACTCTGTACACAGAATAAGTATTACTTATATGATCTGAAGCCTCTATTGATTTTAACTGCCATGAGAAGGAAACAAAAGTTATGACTGGCTGAGACGGGTGACATATTTATTTTTGTTTATCAATAATCTGACGCCTTCAGGCAGTGTTTTTGTAAAATGATAAGATTAGCTGGACCTTTGGCAAATGTGATGGACATTTTTATTGTAGTATCATGTTCTTGATCTGGCTTTTGATCTTTTAATACTGCAGAAAAGCTTATTCCAGACACCGATTGTTTTACAAGGAATTTCTTTTAATGTTACTTTTTATTGCATATATTTTATTTTTCGTTATTTTCCTCCGATCAACCCTGATATTCCACTACTTCATACTTATACCAGGATTCTCATACTAGGAATCAAAATCATTAAATACAATTCACATCATGAATATTTTCCATTTTGAAAATTATTTATGTTGTCTTTACCAGAAAATTATACTTGTCTTCGCCATGCAATTATAATTTTTTGACAATTGTCATTTATTTAAAGTTTAGAACTTTCTTCTGATAGGACAAATTTTTCATAAATTTTTCAGACAAATACTATTTCTGAAATAAATATGTGTCTGTCATGTTACTTCTACTGCTGCAGTGCATTCAAGGAATGCAGACAAACCCAGACAGCATACAAAATGTGGGACATGGGGCGAACGTAAACTGAGATTTCACTAAGCACCAATCACCCAAACACGCAACACACAATTGTTTGAACTGAAATCTGTAAAAGGTTGACATGCAAGCTACTGAGCTCCTCAAAAGTTCACAACCCAGAACAGACGGCCCACACCTGCCATTGTGAAGTACCTGTAAAGTCTATCCAAAGCAGATATAATTGTTCGAATGACGTATCAGTCGAGTGTTTTATGTTTAAATTGCGTTTTTTTGTATGTTGGCATTCAATTAAGAGTTGATGGTGGGTAATATATATACCAGTACAGCTTTGGAGTTTAAATACTTGTGTGACAACACCAGGTACATATTTGTAAATATCACTTTGTAAGTTTGTATTGTTCACTGGTGTTGTGTATAGGTAGGTTCAAAATATTTGATAGCCTGATCAGAGATTTTGATAGCCAGATTTTCAACACCTAGGGCAGAAACCTTTAATTTTCATACGTGATTGTCCTGGGACAGAACGAGCTGGATTTATAACAGATAATCGGACAATACTATCGGTATGATCTTCTTAAAAAATTCCAACGGATATATAAACGTAGGGGCGACACACAGGGAAAGTAGGTTAACATCGATTAAGATGATAAAGTAGGAATTCTCAAAGAACATCCACTTTGACATACTGATAATAGAGTTATGACTCTAGGAATTTGTTATTATTATTTATTTCATTCAGAAGAAACAATAACAAATTTAATGTGCACTACTGTGAGTATGTGTACATTCATCTTCCCGGGGCCGTTACCAGCACAGCTGGTTCGTGTCAGCCACACTCTATTTCTATGATTTATTAGCGTGAGACAAATATGTGTTGAAATTATCAAGTGGGGAAAGCCAATGTGAATTCATTTGATTTAATTTTTTATAGTTTATATATAAGTTTAAAAAATGATTTAAATAATTGTTGATTTATTAGAATTATGTGTCTAGGTAAACTAAAAGAAAGAAACTGGTGATACATTAAGTGAACAAAAACAACGTTTTGAAATTGACATAACAATAAACTTATTTTTTGACTTAAACAATGAATGAAGTTGCGTGGTGTATTGCCGCGGGACATTTGATCGGTATATTCTGACTACTTATTGTGATAATAACACCGCATGTCACAGCTCTGTACCTACAGGGCTCTGTCGGCATGTCACCAGCGTTATTTTAGGATGATTTATAACTGTGAGGTTGTACAGGATCAAAGAGGAACAAGAAACCATATCAAGCGTGACAACATTCCAGATCCACGATGTCCTGTCAGCAGGTTCTCGCTCCCCATTTATCACACCTGCGCAGGTATACTTACCTATTAAAGGTCTTCCTGGCACTTTGACCTTACAGACCAGACCCACCTGACACACCTTACAATATAGGTGATGTCTGTCCAACCTGACCAGGTGTGTTAATAGAGGTTTGGGGTGGGGGCCATACAGGAGTTGTGGTATAAATAGGGACAGAGGGTCCTTCGTAAGTGAGTAGCTTAGTCAGAAATCTCATTGCCAAGCTTTCCTTGTCTTTATGACACTTGCAGGTTTACACTTTAAGATTAAGGAGCATGGTAGGGAGAAAAGGTCTTTGTAAGAGAGTTTACTTAAGCCAAATATCTTTAATTTGAATTTCTGAAGGTATTCTTCATGTCATCCAGCAGGTCAGTGCTGTAAGTGTAAGGAGTCTTTTTGTTGACATGAAATCGGACAGACTAAAAAAGTTGGCTATCAGGACCAAAAGCTTGATCAAAATTAAAGTGCAGATGTGATCGAGTCTTCAGACAGGAAATCCAATGATTTCACTCTCCAAACAAATTGAGAGTATAGCCGAGAAACAGAGGATTCTGATGAAGGACTACCATACTATCACTTGGAAGCTTAAACTTGGGAAACCTACAGATATGCTGTATTTGACCTAATTAGCTATAATAAGGGTGCCCTTCTAGAGATTTTAGGAACTGGAAGGTTACTTTATTTCTTAATGTTAATTATGGAATTTTTCTATTCTAG